GGTCCCCGCCGGGGCGCGGGGCGGGCGGGGGAGGGGAGCGGGCGGGCCGGGGCTGGGGGCCGGGCTCACGGGGCGTCCTCTCCCCGCAGCTGCTGCCCCGCCGCACCGACTGGACCGGGAAGGAGCATCCCAGGACCTACCAGAATCTGGTGAGACATTCACGTCGCGGAGCAAAGAAACTTTTCCCCGAGTCGAATAAAAATTGAATTTCCCGCAATTTTTTACAGAGACAAAAACTTGGCCCCAGAACGTGAAAGCTCCAAAGGCCACGGGGAGGGTTGGGAGGCCGTCGCGGGGGCTTCGGGGGGCAGTGGTCGGGGGGACCCGCACCCCGAGGCCGCAGGGGCTGCCGACAATTTATTTGTGATATTTTGTTAATGTGCTAGAAATAAAGGTACGTCATGAGTGTTGTGCAGTGCAAGGCCGGAGGAGGAGGGGCCGGCGCGCGCGTCCGTGCGGGCGCGGGGGCGCGCGCGAGGCGGCGGCAGCGGGAGCGGCGCGAGGGAGGAGGGCGCGCTTGCTCGCTTGCTCGCTCGCTCTCTCGCTCGCTCTGCACGCGCGGTCGGCTCGGCTTTCTCCTGCCCCACACAATAGCTGGTGACTAACTGCTCCGAAGTGGCATTAGCATTTCACAAGCAGGCTATTCAGCCGCAGCGGAACCGTAGCAAGGCGTTATTTTTTTTTCTGTCTCGATTCTTTTGCTTTTCTTAAATTCAGAGCTATGGTTTTTGTTTGAGGGTTTCAGTTGGCCAGAAGCTCATCTTGCTTTTACCAAAACACATTTGCAGAAGTGCAAAAGCTGTAACACTCTAAAAGCCAGAAGTTTAACAGATTTTTTCTAATTTTGCTAATTCTCGTGTTATTTCGCTTTTTCAGTTAAAAATTATTACTGGAGGCCACTGAAAAGTTTTGATTTTTACCCTTATATTTATTGTGGTACGGAACCTGGCAAGTAAAAGTTTTTCAGTTTATATTGTGTTATATTTTAATAGCATGAAAAATACCGGTTTCTTAATTTTGTGGGTTTTCAAAGTGATTATGTTTAGTAATTTCTAAAAATTGTCTTCTGAAAGCGGACCTATTAAGTATTGTGACTGGAAAAGTAATGTATTTGTATTCGGTTGTTATATTTTCCATATTCTGTCTCAAACTGATTTAGGTTGTTTGTATGAATATGTGTGTGTTGGGCAGTTAGAGCAGTCACACGGCCAGGGGACCTGGGGGGGGGGGTGCTTAATCTGTGCAGTGCAACTGATTCAGAACTGATGTTTTGAGGTAGTTATAACGAGTGATGTTACTTCACGAAGGCTTGTGAAACGATTAGGAAGTTTCAGCTACTTCAGAATTAAAAGTGAGGTGAAGGCATGACATGATTTTGATGGGTTTTGTTTTCATTTGGATGTAGAACATCTAACTTTTGGATCTAAATCGCTCATGATTTACTCTAGGTTGTTAAGTTCCCACAGATGTTGAAATGAGGGAAACCTACGTTTAGGAAATTTAGGAGAAACTTAACAGTGTATATGTTCCCAACTTTGTTAGTTTTCAAGTAGTAATTGAGGCTAGTTTCATTTAATACTTTGCTACAGTGAATGATTGGGGGGGGTGTAAATATTTGACAAAATCCCTAAGTGGATTCCACGTCTTCCTTATTTGAAAAAAAATTAAAGAGATTATAATATTCTGTTTTTAAGAATTGGGCAGATTTTAGAAAACTGTTTTTTGCATTTCTTTTTACAAAAGTCATCCTTGCATCTCATAAAAACCCACAAACCCCTGTCTCTGAAGATTGCTGTTTTCTTACCTTGGAAACTCTAAGTAATAATATATTTTTAAAAATGAAGCAGCTGATGGTGTCTTGCCAAATTATGGGAATGTCTGGTGCTTGTAGGAATATCATTTTGTTTTCTCTAGTAAAAACAGGGGTACCAGTGTTCATTTTTAATTTTGGGGGGAGGGTTTCTTATCTCTCAGATATTAATAAAATGAATTTATAGTCCCTGTCTCTTTATCAGAATTGGGACAGTAAGTGGTGTCTTCATTAGTGTTGTTATGTTTCCAAAATCCACTTATTTTGCATGGAAGTGGATTTTCTTGTTTGGAGTGTTTTCACCTTCTTACCAGAATAGTCATGTTGGCATACTCAATGAGACAGTTAAGAATTCTCATTAAAATTCAGAGTTCTCTGTTTCATTTTCTCCCTTTATTCATTTAGTATATTAGTCAATCTGTATCTACTGGATACAAGACACCTTTTGGAGTACTTTTATATCCGTCAAATTATATATCTAGGTGTGTGGGTATTTGCTTTAATTTTGATTTTTTGAGAATCAACTCAAACATTTTGGAACACTAAGTATCTGAGCACATTTTTGTTTAATAGTAGGATCTTGAAATTTTATGTCTGGGTAAGCGTATGCAAAATCTCTTGTATTCTTATGACCTAGAAAACATTTAAGTTGCCTTCAGTTGAATTTGAATTTACTTAACATTGGTTTTAAGTTTATTTGGTGAGTTAAACGAAAATAATAACTCTTGTGGTTTCAGTAGTGTCTACCTATATCTGGAAATTTGCTACATTAACTGATAAATTGAATAATATTTTAAATGGAAGAATTTATATATCAGATTGACATTTCTAGAAAAATCTCAAATTACAGCTGTTTAGGATGGTGTATAATATTTGTACTTGGGAGGTTAAAAACAAGCATAGATCAGCGTTTGTACTCAGCCTACAAATAAAATCACAGTGATCTGAGTTTTGATCAAGAGGAAAGTAGAGTTTTAAGAGTAGTTTTAAAGGTTTACAGCTAAAAAAAAAAAAGGTGTTTATTTCAGGTGTGACTGAAAAAGTTTTGATAAAACATGATATTATCATCTAAAGATTTAAAACATTTTTAACAGTGAATAGAATTTGATAGGAAGTTGACTGGTTTTTTTCTCTCTTATGGTGTATGTTTAATCAGATTTTATATTTTTAAATATAGGTTGATTTTAAAACAAGAGGGCATATTATAAGCTTTCATTAGAATTCTAATTTTTTAAAAGGAGCCATGCATTGGTGGCAAACTTTGTTTAGAACAGGAAAACTCAACTAATTTTTGGATTAAAGAGAAAGCTTTCTCATTTATTTCTGTTTGAATAGTGGAATTGGTTGGTTTATTATTGAATAGTGGTTATTAGTTGGTTTTGCTATCTAGTTGTCAACTTACTTAGTGGTGATTGCGTGCTTATGAGGCACAATTTTTAAACATTTTTACCAAATTTAGAATTCTGATTACATTTCTTACAGGGCTTTTTTTTTTTTTTTGAACTGGGTTCATGTTTTGCTAATCTGTTAAAATGATGTAATTCTTATTTTAATTTTTGTAGCAGTATTTGGTTTTCTTAAAATCATTCCACTTATTAGAAATCTTTTTGTTCAAGTGAAGGATTGGGAGTCAGGAGATAGAGATTGTGATTTTTTAGCCCTGCCAACAGTCAAGCCTGCCAGTTACCTCAAGCAAGTCATGGAATTTCTTTGGGGCTCAGTTATCTCATTTGTAAAATAAGTGAATTAAAATTTTTCTAATCTGAAATAGTGATAAATTATCTCTAAAAACTCAGCTCTTTCATTTTTTTGTTGATTATCCAAAACACAAGAAAATAGATATGGAGAAAACATGCAGAATAGAATGTTTTTTATAGTGCCATTCTTAGGTTGTAATATCATATCTTCTTGGAGATAGATGAATATTTTTGAGACACTAACCACATTGTAGACTACCTCTTTATTCTGTAAGTATGTTTCTCTCCATGGTTTAGGTACTAGTTTTCATAAATTATTGCTGGGCTTAAATTCAGAGAATAAGAACCATGAATAGGATATACTTAAGTATATCTTAAGTGTGCATGTATTTAGAGTATGCTGATTAGTAGGAAAGTTAGGGGACAAGTTTTAGGAAAAAAAAAACGCGTTTTTGAATGAGGTATTGCTGTCCTATATTAAAGATAATACGGTGTTTTTAAAACCTAACCAGTATAATTTTGGGAGTGGGGAGTGACAAATAATGAAGTGAATGTGCCTAATACAGTTACTGTTTCCTTTTTTAATAGAGTATCAGTAAAATGGTAAGCTCATCTTGGTAGTTTCTAAGACAGGGCTTTAATATCTCTGTAATCCTTATAATGAACAATACATTATGTGTTAGGGAAATGTTACCTGCTAAAGGGCTGAAATGGGCAAAACTTCATCTTTTCTTACCCATACAGTTGTTCTGTTGGTAGATGCCATTATTACAGAAGTTTGAGGCATTTACAAAGATTTTTAAATGGAATAAGTACCTGTTAAATTCTTTATACTCCTGAGTAATTGTAAAGTGGCTTGAACATAAGGGGGAGTTGGATTATCCCATCCCCAACTACACGATAGTATTTTACATGACTGTTATGAGGCAAAATAGTACTGCTGGAGTCTTCTGTTCCCCAGTCTGTAAAATGGGCTAATAGCAGCCCCTATTTTGTAGGATTCTGTGAGTGATAACTGGCACTTCAGAAGCACTATGTAAGGGTTTGTGTTGCTATTATCAGAACTTCAGTCATGGTAGTAGTTTCCAGTTATTGCTTTATTAATGCATGAAAGTTTAAGAAAAACAGTTTTATTCCAGAAACAAGTGTGCATAATTTTCTGAACATAGCAGCTACAGTGTAAAAAAGACTGCTTTAAACTTTCAGAAGATACTGTAAATATAATTATGTTGTAGATCCAAGATGAAATAAGCCCAAAATATAAAGAAAAAAGTATAGTAAATACCAAAAATAAATAATTTTTATTTTTTATTTTTTATTTTTTTAAAGATTTTATTTACTTATTTGATAGAGACACAGCGAGAGAGGGAACACAAGCAGGGGGAGTGGGAGAGGGAGAAGCAGGCTCCCTGCCAAGCAGGGAGCCCGATGCGGGGCTCGATCCCAGAACCCTGGGATCATGACCTGAGCCGAAGGCAGATGCTTAACAACTGAGCCACCCAGGTGCCCCCAAAATAAATAATTTTTAAAGCATTGTGGATAGAATTCTGGAAAATTTTTGGTGGTCTGTATAGTGAATCTATGTTTTTGTGGATTAGTTAACATTAAAAAATGTTTGGGTGTTTGAAATATCCAAAACTGA